TACAGCAAGCCACACATGCACACAAGCCACACACACACACACACACACACACACACACACACACACACACACACACACACACACACACACACACAGAGGAAGATAACCGCAGACTGGTTGCATAAAGGTGAGGCTGATGAGTCTAAATTGTCATCTTCTGATGAAAATGGGACAAGTGACCAAACAGTTATATTACTTTCTTCTGAATATTTCTAAGTATTTTATTTTTACCCATGTGTTTTTTAGCACATTCACATACTGTTTAGTTAATAAAGATATGATTGTGTCAAGGTTTTTTTTTTGTTTTGTTTTCCTTATAAACGTTTGATCAGGTGAGAACTGAGCCAAATCGTTTTTCTTTGAACTAAACCAGGAGAAGCTGCAGGAAAACAAACGGATTCTGAGGGTTTGAGACAAAACAAGATGCGTTTTTATATTTTAAACTCCCAGTATGTAAAAAATCAAGGCCTTTAAAAAAAATCCAGGCTTTTAATCTGAAAATCCTGGATTTAAAGGGCTTCATGTTGGTATCTGCAGGTTTTGTCTGTTTTTTTAAGTGAACACTTTTTTTTATTAGATTTGTTTGTTTGATCATTTCTGTTTTAAATCTTCCTCCTGGTTTRATAAGATTTATTCTGACAGCTTTTGATGTTCTTCTGTAGCAGTTTGTTTATTTTTTGTGTTTGTTTTTTATTTTCTTGATAAGATTTGAGTCACATCTTAGTGAAATGTTCTAAAGACCCACATCCTCTTTTACAAAATATGGAAGTAAAAATATTTGGTCATGTTTTTACATCAGATTTTAAACTCAGACATCTGTCCCCTGTTTTGTGGAAATAGTTTCTATGTTAAATAACTTAAAGAACAAATATAAATCTAAAATAAATCATTTTTCTTCTTTTTCTTAGTTGGACTAAACTCATCTCGAAAGCTTGAAACTTTTTTCTAAAGTTTCATTAGAAACGTTTTCAATACAACTTGTAAACAGATCAAGGTTTGAACAAACAAAAAACTAAACTAAACACAAACATGACGAGAGTTTCATCTTCTGAGCTGAGTTCTGTTCAGATGATAAAAGCTGAACTTCCTCAAGTTTAAAATTAAAGTTCAAAGTAAAACAAACTTCCTTTTAGTCTCTGAAAAAGGGAATTACATTTGTTTTTTATCAACAGTTAAACAGAGAAGTTGATCGTCTCTGCTCATTATTTCATTATTGTGAAAAGAAACTCATCACTGTACGAAAAAATGATTTAATTTGACAATTAAACATATTTTCAACTGAATAAAATGATTCATTATGTTACTTTCTGAATACAAAGTAATTTTTTAATCCTTGGTTTCACAGATAAATTGTATTAATTAGAAATAAAACCACACACGAGGTTTTAAAAATGTAGGTTTTTATAGTTTAGTTTGTCCTAAAGGCTTGTGAGATGATCTGAAACACTTTTTAAAAATATTTATAAGATGCTTTATTATTAGATAAAGGATGGAAGAAAAAAGCAAGAGAAAACTCTGAAAATTATCATTTTTAACTAAATAATAAACTGGATATTATATTATATATTTATCTGTTTATAAAGAGCTGTTTGGTTTTGTCTGCATCGTGAAGCGTGAGAACTTCCTGTGTTTAACGATAAAGAAGAAGTCGGTCGAACAACTTTTTCAGAACAGAGAAGTTCTTCAGCTGGTTTGTTGCAGCTCTGCTGGACTTCAGCTTCTGATCTGCTGGTAAGAAGAGTTTATGTTCAGTATTATTCATGGCATAAATAATAATTATACTGTATTAAAGCTGAAAACTAGGAGACTTTCTGTAATTATTAATTCACGAACTTTGTGTTTTTTCAGTTTCTGACAATCATGTKTGTGAAAATCCTGCTAAACATCCTGTTCCTGAGTGTCCTCTTTGGTTCAGGTGAGTCCTGTCATTTAATGTGTTTACAGTCTGAAATATCAGAGCATAAGAATACTTTACACTTTTTATTTTATACTGAAGCTGCTGACAAAGAAAGAGTAAGCAGCACATCACTGCTGGAGGAGATATCTGTTATAATTTATTCATCATTTATTTCATTTAAATTCTGGTTTTACAGGCACTTTACAGGATGGTTGTCGTGATTTAATTCTCTTCATGAATTCACCAAAAACCCTGGAGGGTCTGAGTGGATCTTGTTTACACATCCCGTGTAGCTTCAGAACTGAGAGAAGTAACTCAGTTGAGTTTGATGGTAAAAGAAAAGTTGTTGGAGTGTGGATCAAGGACAACCAATGGAAACTAACCAATACAGTTTACAACAGCAGTAAATC